AATAATCCCATTTCGAATATTGTCACTTAAATTGGAAAAACTCCCCTCGCGCATCTTACCCCTAGGGGCGGGCGCGCAAAAAGGAGGTGTGACATTTAGTAATAAAAAATGTTAGCATACTGACTGGAATGATTAATGTGGAAGACAACAATAGGTGGATAGAGAGAGAATACTTCAAATGAAAACACGTCTCTTCTTTAAAGTTACCTGAGCTTCAGCTTCCTGCCTCACTCTATCATAGCGCTGAGCAAGATGTCGAGCATCCTCCAATGGAGCTCCCACAACCATTGCTCTTAAAGGCTCAGCAACCTGAAGTTTGAAACTTAATCAAGAATTTAAGACAAATTCCATACTTAGCTTACTACTTCATGAATGAATTAATTACAAAGAAAGATCTAAGTCATCTGATTAGAAAGCTCTTTGTGGCACTGCTCGCTTGGTTACAACTAAGAAGGGAAATCTAGCTTATATACACAAAGTCCAGAACATCTGGAAGATGAAATGCAGGTTACAAATAAACAGCTATGGTGTTATTGTGACAATGAAAACTACTAATAATAGGACATTCATCATATCAAGAAAATAGAAAAAGATGAAAGGAAACAAATGATTGTCTACAAAAAGTCAGAACATATATCTCATCAATCTTAAACTAGGCCAACTTAATAAAAATTACCAAGATACTGTTTTGACCTTTAGATTCGAGTTGTAGACATTGTAAGCTAATTTAGCTAAGTTTTGTTGGTTATTTGTAAGACTGCTCACCTGCACTTTTCCAGGCACAGGTTGCTGAACATAGCCACCGAAAATGTCATCAATATTTTGCTCACGTGTACTCTCCAGCCTCATTTCATAGTAAAAATAACAATATTACTTTTGAAAGGATTGCAGATTAACTGAATTTTCTGTCGTATACGACAATACTCTAGTATTCACTATCTAGCAATACTTCCAAGACAAATAAAGCAAAAAGGAAAACACAGAAGATATAGTAGCTAGATATGATCTAAGCAAATTTATGCATAATATCAACTTATCAAAATATCATTGACTCCAAAATTTCGTAAAGTAACCATTAAATCACAATCCACCACTCTATAGATCACTTTTTTCTTTCTTATTTTTTCCTAGTGCAGCCTGAACCAGCACCTCTCATTCCTTTGCACAGAAAACAAAATTTGATGAAACACACATGATAATGAAGAAGGGCTTTCAATAGATCCAAACCTGTGTCCCAAGGGCTTTCAATAGATCCTCACGTTCCTTCTCAATTTCAGCTTGAGCCCTACTATAACTTAATGCTGCTTTAGATAATGTATTGCCACTTGTACATGTATTTTCAGCCCCATATTTTCGGCTATCATCTGCCAACCTAGTACCTAAAAAAGGAATGTATGTAGGACCTTAGTGAAAAAATAAGCCTTAGAGATTACACACATACGTAAGAAGAAATTTCAGTGACTGACCAATTTCAATTTGCTTTGAGCCACTGATGATGTAGCCTTCAACACCTCGGACAATGTCTCTTTGGAAGTGCTAGTGATAGAACAGGATACAAAGGATAAAGAAAAAAAAGAATCCAAACAAGACATTTAAAAATGGGGGAGTTTTGTCAAACCTTGCCAGCACGAGTAGAAATGTACAGCTTCTCGAGTGTTTGATGTTGTTGCAACTCTACTTCATCAGTAACACTATTATCTTGGCCACCCAGTCCACTAGCAAATTGTTTGAAGACAGCCTAAGAATAAAAATAGCAAAGAATCAACAAAGACCATCGTTTACATACACTGGCTTGAGGGGGAGTGTTAAAGAGTTAGTATGTATAGTAGTATGTAAAGTGTTTCACATTGGTAGAGAAGGGCTTAGTACTACGTAAATACCCCATATAAATACTTAAATAGGGCTAATGTAAGACACAAATGAACACAAGAGGAATTCTTTCTTCCCATGTCTTAAACTCTTAACATATTCAATGTACAGTTACAACAGAGCAAGGATTTACGAAGGTGCTCACCTGCATCTAAACTGATGCTACTTGATATTGCTGTCGAGGACCTTCTCCTTCCGGTTAGAGGCAGATCCATGATTTAAGCTTTATGGGTTCAACCTTTAAGGTTCTTAAAATTAAAGGTATTGTATTTTTAAAGTTATGGGTTCATACCTATATTTTATTACAATTTTAGTGGATTTTTACACATGAATTTATGTTCTGTGTCAAAAGTATTGGATTCAGATGAACCTTGTACTAACACGTTGCATCCGCCTCTGCTTCCGATGGAGGGCCGCCTCTATTCGGTGGTCACAGGGATGTTGTTGGTGGTTAATCACCGAGTTACAAAGTTAAAAGATGAATCAGATTTCATTCTCGTGTCTCAAAGACTGAGGCTAGCTACGATGGATTCAAAGCTAAACTATGAGCTTCAACTCTTCCTTACCGGAAAGAGAAGGTCCTCAACTGCCACATCCTCTTCCTTCAGCAATTGCTATCAAAGATAAAGACAGATTAATAGAACCACATTTTTTCGTTCCATTTATAAATCTGGAATCCCACTACTAAGTGCATCTTTTGGGAATCAAATGCTCTAGATTATTCACTCCTACCCTTCTTGTGTCAACCCATGATCCTAACCCCACAGAAAAAAAAGAGAGAGAAAAAGAAGGGATCTTTGTACAAAAAATAAACAAATTAGAAGAAAAAGAATCCGGCGAACAAAAGTGAAGAGCTAAAACTAACTGTTCTTCCTAGTCACAAAAGGAAAAAAAAGAACAGCTTGAAGAACATACTCCTCAAGAACAAAGAGTCAAGAGTACAGTTAGGGTTCATTTCTTCACTTATAGATATGGAAAAACTGGTATATATACAAAGATAGAAAGAGGGAAATTACATGTTGTTGTTTGGCAACTTGTTCTCTGAGCTTAGTAGCTTGTTTTCTGATTGCTTCCATTTCCTTCACACCCACCACAGTCCACAGCAGTCAGCAGTGAGAGTGGTGAAAAGAAGAGGGAGAGTTGTCTCAACTTTCTGTTTCAAAAAATGTGTCGGAACTCAATTCTTGTTACTTTTATTTGAAACTTGTTGGACTCCGTACTTGCTTCTGTTTGACTTGTCACTTTTTCGCCCGTGATCTCACTTGTCCTTAATTAATTTTCTCCGAGTAAGTTCTTAAGTTCTGATTTTGACCTAACTAATTTCGGGCCATTTAGACAATGTACTCATTCCATTCACTTTTTTTTGGTTAAAAGGAACGTTGTATTTATATGCTAGTTAACAAAAAGAACCACATCAGGGACATTATTGGAGTATCGCAATGATTCTATAGTTGTAAAGTTTAGCATGATTGTATTTAAGTTACAACCCACAAAAGATCTAACTAGTTCAGTTCCTAGGATGTTTGCCCAAAATACATTATTGACAAACATCGGAGGAACTGATAATGTCATAGATTTGTTTAAAAATATCTCCTTTGTTGTTTCCTTGGCCACTACATCAACTACTCTGTTCTGCTCCCGGTAGATGTGCCTCACTACCACGTTGCCCATCCTTTGGATGATTGACCTGCATTCACAAATTAGAGGGTCATAAATCAGACTTCCATTCAAAAGCATATTGATTGTTTCAGCTGAATCAGTGTTTATTTCTAGCGGTACTAAATGTTTTTGCTCCGCCAGTTGTAGACCTTGTATGAGGGCCTGAACTTTTGCCCTTGTGTTTGTTGTTTGGGGGATATTGTCCATGTAGCCCAATATCCAATCACCATTGTGGTTTCTGAATATTCCCCCTAAACCACATATTTCTGGGTTCCCACTTGCTGCTCCATCTGTATTCAGTTTGTAAGAACCTCTAGATGGAGGTTCCCATTTTAACAGGATCTAGTGAGTTACCTTTGCTGAGTCATTCTTTGTAAGCATAAGGTATTCAGTTGCTTTAGAGATTGTGTTATTGGCATTAATGTGCTCTTTCTTGTTATTGAATACATTGTTATTTCTGGTTAACCAGATGTGCCACAGACAAAAGGGAATGAGGTTGTCCCAACAGATGTAGTTGTTGAAAGGGACATTTTTGAGAGAGTTCCATGTTGATTGCCATTGGTGGCCATTGAAAATCGGAGCATTATTTGAACCATTTCCTAAAGATTTGGATAGAATTTCATTCCAAAAATGGACAACATTAGGACATTCAAAGAAAATATGGGCAATCTTTTTTTGCCCATTGTTACAGTATTAACATTGAGGGACGTAGTTGATTCCAATAGAGTGGAGGAAACTCCTAGTTGGAAGTATCTTATGGGTTAGGAGCCAGATGAAGTATTTGATTTTGTTGGGGGCTTGTAGATTCCAGATCCATTTGAAGGGGCCTTCCTCTCCAGAATGGATACTGGGTGTAGTCCTGCTTAGGAAGGAGTAAGCAGAACTGTTTGAGAACTGGCCATTAGGAGTCAAATCCCATATAAGATTATCATCCTTAGTTATAACATGGGGGATGAACACAGAGTTCAACAGGTTCAGAGTATTTGGGGGAATGTTAATGGACAAAACTGATGTGTCCCAATTACTCAGGTTGTGGATTGAGCTAACCTTGGCTTCAAGGTCATTTTGGGTTAAAGGGCCCTCAATCATCTGTCTGATTGCTGGTTGATTAGGGATCCAAGTGTCATTCAAGAAACTGACCATATTTCCTTTGTGGACTATCCATCTGCTTGTTTTGTTGCATATCTCCCATCCCTTTAGAATGCCCTTCCAGGTTGGAGATTTTAGGTGTTTAGGGTGTCTAAATGCTCTAACTGGTCTAGACATGTTGCAATATTTGTGGATGAGAACTCTAGTCCATAGACTATTGGTATTCTTATAGGTTCTCCATGTCAAATTTGTGAGGGAAGCTTTGTTCTTGATACTAGCCTTTTGGAGTCCTAGCCCTCCCTCAGCCTTGGTCTTAGTGACTACCTCCCACTTGATTAGATGTAACTTCTTCCTTTCAGGGATGGTGCCCCAAAGGAAGTTTCTCTGAATTCTATCAATCTGATTAGTGATTTTGGTGGGTAGATTTATGTATTGCATAGCATGACTTGGGATGCTGTTCAAGGAAGTTTTGGACAAGACTGTTCTCCCAGCCATGTTGAGGCATTTAGTTTTCCAACCAGCCATCTTGGATTGCATGTTATCAATAATGAATTGAAAATCTGCAGATGATTATTTTTGTGGAGAATGGGGAATCCAAGGTATTTTCCAAAGGATGTTGTGTGCCTGATGGAAAAATTATTGGTAAGATATTGTATGACATCTTGAGTGATGTTTGAAGAAAATAGGACTCTTGATTTGGTGAGATTGATTTTTTGTCCTAACTGCTCATTGAAGTTCTGCAATATTGAAAGAATGGTATTGCAGTTCCTGTCATTGGCTTAAGCAAAAAGGGTGAGGTCATCCACAAAGAATAGGTGGGATAGTTTTGGTCCAGACCTACTTATACTTATGGGATACCATTGGTTATGTAGTACTGCCTTATCAATAGATCTTGATAATCATTCCATGCACATAATGAATAGGTAGGGAGACATAGGGTCGCCCTGCCTAATGCCTCTTGAAGGTTTGAAAAACTCTGTTTTCCCCCATTGACAAGAATGAAAATGGATGATGTACTGATGCATGACATGATGAGTTTGGATAAGCCCTGGGGGGAGTTGAAAGCAGCTAGAGTGTCTTTAATAAAGGACCATTCCAGCCTATCAAAGGTCTTCTCTAGGTTTATTTTTAGGATCATGTTGCCACTTTTCCCCCTTATTTTTCTAAAGTGAGTGATATATTCTTGGATAATGATGGCATTGTCACAGGCTCTCCTATTAGAGAGAAATCTTGCTTGGCTTGGCCCAATGATTTGTCCGGAATAGGCTTTATCCTGTTCACAATGACTTTTGTGTTTGACTTGTAGATGGTGTTACAAAGTTCAATGGGCCTGGAATATTTTAGCATTAAAGCTTGGGGGCAGTTAAGTGTTAGGCACAACAGAGTTTGGTTCATGGTGCTATCCATAGAGCTTGTAGAGAAGCATTTTTATAGAAGTTTGTGACAGAGTCCCCTACTATATCCCAATACTTTTGGTAGAAAAAGAGGTGAAGGCCATCAGGACCAGGAGATTTGAAGGGTTTGTGGGAGAAGACTGCCCTTTTAATCTCACTCACATTAAGAGGTTTGTCCATAAAAGCACTTTGGCTTTGAGACAGAATGGGTGCCATGGTAGAGTGGTCTGTGGGATCCCAAGGGGCTTCAGCGTGGGATATTTTGTATAGATTAGTAAAGAAGCCCACAATTGCTGAATGAATGTCATTTTGGTCATGAAGCCAATTTCCATTCTCTTCTTTAAGAGAGAGGATTCTATTCCTCCTTCTTCTATTGAGGGTGGATGTGTGAAAGAATCTGATGCTAGCATCACCCTCATTTAGCTAGTTAATTCTAGACTTAAGTTTCCAATTTGAGTATTAGGTTGAGTTCAATATTTAGCTCTGTTTCAAGGTGTAACAGGTAACTACTAAATTGGTAGCTAGGAGATTTTTGGATTCCAGAGATTCTTGCCAGGATTCTCTTATTTTGATGGAAGATGTTTCCAAAGACTCTATGGTTCCACTTTGTTATCAGAGTCTTAAAGTTTTCAGTGAATTGAAGAAGGGTGGAATGGTCAGAGAAGGCCCTATTGATGATGTTTGGGAAAGAAGGGTGGCTAGCCTACATTGACTTATTAACCTGAAGGGCCTTGATGGTTTGTTGTTTGGAGGCCCTACCAAGTTAATTTGTAAAGGAAAATGGTTTGAGTGGGTCCTAGGGAGGTGAAGTACAGTAGCTTCAGGGCACTGTTCAATCCAACCTTCATTTGTGAAACACTTATCTATTCTTTCCAGAATTAGAGAGGTTTTGTTAATGTACCTTTTATTAGTCCAAGTGTATTTGATTCTTTTATAGCCTAGGTCTAGGAGGTTACACTCATTTATACAGTTCCAAAATAGGTTGATACAGCTCAGGTTTATGGGATTACCCCCAAATTTGTTCCTGGCCTTTAAGACTTCGTTGAAGTCTCCACCTATAAACCAGTTGGTTTTTTATGTTTTTTGATATTGTGATTAGGTTCTCCCATAGGAGTTTCCTATTTTGTAAGAGATTGCTAGCATAAATAGCAGAGAAGAGCCATGGAGGGTGGTCTAGACTTACCTTCACCATTGCATGGATGCCTTGGGGGGTAGTTGCCACTTCTTCAACTGCCACGAACTCCTCTTTCCACATAAACATTATACCCCCAAATGGTCCTGCTGTCGGAGACTGAATGATCATATCAAACTGAAGTTGTTAGGCTAGGGTCTGGTGGTCTGCCATCTTCGTTTCAAGCAGGACAAGCATGGCAGGCCTGTGCATTTTTACCATTTCTAAATAGTGCCGTTTGAACTCGGCATTGTTTCCACCCCTAACATTCCATATGATGTAGTTCATCATTGGAGTTGGGGGTGGTTGGTGAGTTCCCTCTTGAGGGCTCTTTGGTCCTTGAAAACTCGACATTTGAGGTGGTGGGGGGGGTACTTCCTCTTGAGACTGTTAGGTTGAGAAGGGGTTTCATCGGACCATGTGTTTGGGTTGAGACTAGGCTCATTCCGCACTTGGTTATTGTTATGGGGCATAGTACCACTACTATATCGCTGGTTTTGCGTGCTGAACTCTATCGATCTCACTGGGTCCAAGAGTAGTGAGTCTATTCTTAATGTGGCATAAGGTGTTTTCTATTCTTCTAAGGCATTCTTCTTCTTGAGGATCTCCGGAGATTTGGAGATTCCTTTCTGGATATTCTGAAGAGGTGGGGAGTTACTCTTCCCTTTTGGAGTAGAAGATGATGGTTTGTTTTGGGTTGGCTGGTCGATCATGACAAAGACAGCTCCGCTGCTAGATCCTCTTTCATCAGATTTGGGAAGAAAGGTAGGGTTTGGAAGCTTTGTAGAATGTGGTTGTTGAGAGATTGAGGATCCGTAATGGGGAGTTGCTATCGCTGTTGACCATCGATTGCCATAGGAAAGGTCCAAGGCTGCCAGTGCTTTACTCAGTACTTCCACCGTGACTCTAGCTAGGTG